GGTTGTTCCCTACACCTGACGTGATCCCCGGTCCAGCGGTTGACCCTATTTTCCTGTAATCTGACACCTTCTGGGATTCCTGTCTATGGTCTGCATAGGTTGGGAAACTGCTAATGTCTGAGTCCCAGGCATCTCAGGGCCAGGCTGAGAGGATGGGGTTGAGTGGCTGGGCAGAGAAACATCAGGAAGCCTGTTCTGAGAGAAGAGGCAGGGCTGCTCAGCCTGAAGGGGAAGACTCAGGAAGGAGCAGCCATTGTCCTCAAAGAGCAAAGCTGCACCACAGCCTGCAAGATCTGCCTAAAGAAAGAGGGCACCACCACAGGCTTCCTTGGAGGGGCCGAGCTCCAGGGCTGGCATGGGGCACCGAGGTCTGAGAGGTAAGCTAGACCCACGTGCTGTCACACAAGAAGCCTGTGGAATGCATCTGCTGACCAGGAGGATACTCTGAGAATTCAGGCCCACTCTGTCCCCCCATTCCCCAACCAGCCCCTTCCTACCTCCTGGATGTGCCCAAAGAGCCAGTGGGAAGGAGGGGACGGGAAGTGCTGGACCGCTTTGAGCAACCACTGCCTGTGCAGGTAGAGCTGTGCTGCCTTGAGCAACAGCAGAGTGAAGCCTAGCAGGGAGGCCACTTGCAGGAGCCCAGAGACACCGTCCAGGGGTCTGGTGAAGCTCAGCACAGAGACACTCATGGTGCAGGGACAGCTGGATCCGTTGACTATTCCTGACTGTGGCTGACCTCCCCTGAGCACCGCAGCCTTGTCAGTACAAGGAAGATTGCCCTGCCCACAGAGAGGGAGGGAAATAGGAGGGGGCAGAGGTTAGACTGGGCCTCCAGAGTTCATTAACTGAGAGGATCCACCTTGGGAACCAGTGGGAGGAAAGCTTTCCCAGCAGACAGCAACAGTGGCTGGCAAACTCCCACTTGCCCTTCTCCCTATTATTCATTCAATATTTCAGGAGCACCCCTAAGTGCCAGGTGTACTGAATGCCACAACACAGCTGCCTACAAACAGACATGAGCCCTGACAGCAAGAAGACCGCAGTCCAGTTACCGAGTTCAGAATGTGTGGTTGGTTGGCTTATTCTCCCTTATCAGAGAGCAGAAGTCTTACAGGGAGCTAGTGTGATGTGGCCACAGGAGAACTGCCATTGAGAGTGCCAGCTGGGATTAGAATCAGGGGTTCTCCCGACCACCTGCCTCAGGTGCTTCAGCAATGTTCCCCATGCTTGTCACTGTCCACCCACCAGTTGTGCCTGGAGCAGACTGTGCTGGCAGACAGAGCACTGGCCCTAGACTCAGATCCCCAGCCCCAGGGCATGCTCATGACATAGGAAGCCAGCAATGTAGACTACTTGAACCTCGGTTTCTCCTTCTGGAATGTGGGGTAATCGTCCCTTTCCCAAATTACCCCCAAGTTCCTTCCTCCAAAGTCCTCCTTTCTCGACTTCATGACAGAAGATTCATCACACAACCCTTGGACCAGAGTTCTTTCCTGCTTCCCCTAAATCCTGGGCTCCTGTCCAAACCCTAGGGGACATAATCACATTATCCATTCCCCTCAACTTAATATGGTTACCTTCCATCCCTCTGTGGCCCCTGGTCAGAGACTTTGGAGCCGGACAATTTCCCTTACTTGGCCCAGCACCAGCTTTGCACCTAGCATACCAGGAACAGTTGTGGAGAGAGCCTGGAAGTAGGACAGCCTGGGTGCAATTCTGGGGGTCACTCTGTCTTTACTTCCCAGAGTTCTCGGTTTCCTCTATACAGTGAGCACATGATGCTTGGTGTAGCTAACATTTAGTGAGCACTTACCATGTTCTAGGCACTGAGAAAGAAACCTTAGAGGTTTTCTCCACAACAACCCTACAGAATAGACTTTTTGACAAAAATCCCCAAGTCGAAGTGAGAAAACCATGGCATAAAGAGCTTAGTTGTCTGTCCAGAGTCACCCTCCTGGTAAGAGGGAGAGCCGGCATTCAGTCCAGGAAGTCCTGCCCCAGAGACTTTGCTGTGAACCGTTTGTTGAAAACCAGGCTCCAGCCCGCAGGGGGCAACGCCCAAATGCTGCAGGGGACATTTCATGCTTGCTTTGTTTGATCCAGTGTTTCCTGGGAGCAGCAGTGTGTTTCGGGTATCAATCCCACATTTTGGCATAAATGCAAGCCTCACTATGCAGGGCTGTTTTTGTGAGCAAGTGTAGGGCACACCATGTCCGTAGATGTAGCAGTCGTTGAAGACGATATTCACAATTTTCACGATGTGACTAAAGCTGATGATAAACTGGTCAAAAGAATGTAGAGCTCTCTGTAGAGAATTTAAGTCTTACTAAGTTGTGCTGGCGTCGTCAACATTGTTAAAGAGTCAATATCTGTCCCGTTCATTTGCTATCCAGACACCACAAGCAAGGGTTCTTTGAAGGTTGTAATGGGGCAACCCATGTCTTATGCTTCCTATCGCGTGGGACTGAGGGCTGTGCCTGCTGATGATACCCAGGGAATACTTACTGATGTGACGAATGAATGAAGCTGGAAATCAGGATAACATTGCACCAGTTAGATCACTGTCTTGAAGAGACTAGGTTTAGTGTTGGTTGCCACATTTTAAAGCGAAATGAGTATTTCCTGGCTCTGTGAATAGGCCGCAGAAAGGCAGGTGAGTGGGTGCAGTCATTCCCCAAGATGGAAGCTTGAAGTGATTACTCAAGTGATTACTCATAATACCAAGCACTTGCTGTTTCTGGGGCTGATGTATATTCCTAAATATTGGCATGCTTTTCCCATCTAAGAGAAGGCTTGAAGCCATCATTTATTTGTTTATTTTTGGCTGGGGCATTATGCAGCACCCCTTTCTACCTAGAATGAGATCTAGGGTGATTCTGAGAATGTGAGCACTCCTTACCCAGTACCATGCATGGTGCTGGCATGGGTAAGCTTCCAAAATATGTCCTCAATATTGGCATAGTGGTTTCCAAAGCACAATCACAACTACTGCTCAGTTTATCAATACTAAATTACAGACAAGTAAACTAAGGCCCAGGGAGCTGGTTGACTGTCTCAAGGTCACAAAGCAAGTAAGTGTCAAACTTAGAACAATGACCATAAATGTCGAACTCTAGTTTTGCTAATACCCGAGTATCACTTATTTTGTGTAATAGTTACATTTGTTGACATGATGCCAATGTTTTCATATATTATCTACCTACATTTTTAAAACACCCTATCTTAGAACAGATACCAGCCTCTGGATGATGTCTCCAAACTTATCTCCAACCACTGTCCTACCAAGCGGCAGCTTCTGGAAGACACCACACTTCTTCCTGCCCCAGAGCATGTGTGCTTGCTGTTGGTTCTACCGGAATGCTCCTCTCTTACCCTTCACACTGCCAGCACCTTGTCATCCTTCAAGTTTCACTTTGAATGCCCTCTCCAACAAGAGGCCATCCTGGATCTCCCTAAGTAGACTCTCCCTGTTAGTCTCTCTCATAGCACTGTATTTGTTTCCTGTTTTAGATGGACTGCTCTCTGTATTCATTCTACTTACTTGCTTGGTTGAATATTATCAGTCTTCCCCAAGAATGAAAGGGCAGGACCATGTCCGTCCCATCACATGGAGTATCTTGACAATGCCTTGCACATAGCAGGTCCTCAACGAAAATGTGTCAATTGACATAAGGAACAGAACTGAGCTGACTTCTGCATTGCACAGCAAGCTGGTTTTATCTTTCTTATGAAAAACTTTAAAGCTGAACTAAATTTCTTTCTGGGAGTAGTATAGATAGAAGGTTGATGACAGGCAGCATTTGCAAGCAGATTGGCCAGTTTGGGGCTGTTGAGCTAACCCAGGAACATTAAGAGAGAGGGTGACTTGGGCTTACAGTGGTGGCTCTGGGACTGGAGAGCAGGTGAGCTCAAAGATATTAAGACTGTGACTGCCTAGGAGGGGCTAGAAGAGGAGTGAAGGACAGAACCTGGACAAAGTTGTAACCTGAGCCCACCCATTCTCCTCAGCCTGCCCACCCTGGCTTGAACAGTTCCTTGGCTTCCTGAACATCTATGAGCCTGACTTCCCTAAAGGTTTGTAGACCTGAGGGGGTTAGTGTTCTCAGGAGAGGGTGAAGTTCCAGAGAACAAAGGGCTCAGGTACCAGGTGGGGAGGAGTCCTGGGACCTGCATCTCACTTTTAGGGAACTGGGGTCCTATTTATCCACATGTCCTGTTTATCCACAAATAAATATCTAGGAATCTTCCAGTCTGTGCTTGACCTGATCATCTTTCTCCTACAGATCCCATGATCACAGATGTGTTTAATTTCTTCTTCCACTGGATTGAGGAGTGGGCACCTGCCTTCCCTGCCTTTCCCCTCCAAGACCATGATCCTTCCCTCTGCATCCTTCCTGTTCTGTCTCCACTCACTCAGGCATCCCACCAACTGGACAACCTGGCCCTCTAGTGCCCTTTCTTACTTAAGCTGCTCCTTAGGAAGACAGAAGAGAACACAAGCAAGCTACTGTCTGTCCAAAAAATGGGCTCAGACACATTATACTTCTGGGTCTGTTGTTTTCTTTCTAGACAGGCATCTACTTGGCTGGTTTTTGTTTCTCCGGTGGAACTCTGACTAATACAAATTTTGGTAGCAAGAATTTTCTAGAGGAACAGAATCTTAATGAGTTTTTTAAATTCATTCTGGATTTCATGAATGATTTTTCCATTAGGATTCATTGGAAAGACACTGATGACCCTATTGCCAATGGTAAAGAGGACACTGCTAGCCCAGGGCCTGATGTTGCAAAATGCAAAACATCACTATTAGATAATGCTAATCAAATACTTGTAATAGGCAAGGTTTGGTGACCATGTATTTGATGACATATTGCATTTTAGTTACCCTAAGGAGCATAAGATTGACTAGTTGTTCCATGCTGTACTGGAAAAGTAGGGAAATAATGATGTGAAGGATTCAAATTCTCAGACCACAAAAGAAATAAATGACTTGAATGCTTCTATGTCAGCATTGTGCCCTATGTCAGCACCACTGTGCCCTAAAGCCCCAGGCCTTCACCAGGGCTCAGATTTCGGAGCCTCTGTGTCACAATTATAAGCAAATTAAATTCCATATCTTGTAGGTGTCAAATTATAGTGAGAACACTGAGCAATGGGAACCTGAAAATTGGAATGGGGACATATGAGATATCCCCATGAAGCTGGAGACATCAAACCCCTATAATCTACTGAGTCTTCTTTCATTTGGGGAATACATCCATTCCAGTTATGTATTCCAGAGGCAGAGAAATAACCTCAGGATAAGTTAGGGTATACAGCACTAGCTAGGAGGCAATAACTTGCAGGGTTAAAGGAAGGCTCTTCAAGGGGCTGAATATGCTATAAATCAATGTCCAACATATGGTTCTCTTACTCTACAGTCAGGGTTCACCCATCCAGGACTCAAGAGATGGAAATGGGACAGGCACCACACATTGTTACCCCTAGTGACCCAATTAGCCACATCATTGGTGCTTATTCCTGTAACATGTGCTCTGTTGGCCTAGTGATCTTATTTCCAAAGGCAGGAGTGCTTCCACCAGGACACACAGGATGATTACGTTGAACTGCATGTGAACATATCTCCTGGCCACTTTGGGCTCCTCATGGGTCTGAATCAAAAGCAATTACTGTACTGGATTTATCCTGATTGCAAAGGGGAAATTAGTAGTTTCTTACCAATGAAGGTGAGAAGAATTATGCTTGGAATAGAGGAAGTACATGGGGCATCTCTTAGAACTACCATGCCCTGTCATTAAAGTAAACTGAAAAATGCCACTGCCCAGTTGAGGCAGGACTGGTTATGGCCCAGGTACTTTAAGAAATAAGGTTTGGGTCACCCCACCAGGCCAAAAACCACAACAGGTATGGTGCTTACTAAGGGTAAAGCAAATATGGAATGGGTAGTGGGAGAAGGTATTTATAAATGCTAGCTTTGGTCATGCCACAGGTTGTAGAAATAAGGAGTATATTGTTTCTAGCACTTTTCTTTATTTGTTGTGAATTTGGTTATATATGTGTGCACCTGTGTGTCAGAGTTTTCTTCCTTGTCTTACATCCTCCAGATAAAAGGTAAGATGTAATTATGTTAAATATATATTATAGTCCTCAAGATATAGGATTTCAGGGAGAAGAAAAAATATGCTCCAATGACTTTGTTTTGTGGCTAGGGACAAGGGTCAACATACTTTCAATTATATTAAGGACACTTGGTGGAAGGGTGACTGTATTCTAGTTAATGGGCAGATCAAGTATGGTTTAAAGAGATGTATGAATGCCAAGTGGACTACAGTTGGACTGTGAAGACTAGTTTTGTGGGTCGACTTGGACTGGATGTAGTACCAGTTATTCAATTAAATAAAAGTCTTGGTGTTTCACTGAAAGATTTATAGATATGGTTCAGATCTGTAGTCAATTGAATTTAAGAAAGGGATAGTTCCTTGATTCACAGGGAGGCCCAATATCCTCATTGAATGGTCTTAAGAGCAGACTTTAAGAAGGTGGAAAATGCAGAAGGGATTCTCCCTTAGAGCTTCTTCAACACCTTGGTTGTGGCCCAGTGAGACCCTTTTCAGATTTCTGGTCTCCTGAACTACAAGATGATCAATTTGTGCTCTTATAAGGGACTAAGTTTTTGTCATTTGGTAGAATGGTAAGAGAAAAGAGTACAGGGAAAGAACATCAGTCAGGAATGGAAAACAACAGGAGAAGCCAGACAGGCTGGAGACAGGTGCAGAATCAAGAGTTACACACACAGTCAGAACTAAAGCTGGGTAACAGAAGGGTAACAGAAAACTAGTAGGAATCCTGGAAAAGGATGAGACAGAGAAAGGCAGACAGTCTGACGGGCAAGAGGAGGAGATCACAGAGGCTGGCATGAGTGGGGCAGAAAACAGGAGATGACAGACGGACAGGAAGACAGGATAGCAGGCAGGAGGGCCTCAGTGTTCACACTTGTCTGCACAGGTTTTAGAGGAGCTTCCTGAGATGCAGGTGGATCCCATTCTTGGACCTCAACACAATTCTTGGCCAGGGAACAGGGACCCTGGAAGGATCTGGCGCCAGCTCAAAGCGGAGCAGGGTCAGGGCCACCGCCACCTTCATCTCGTTCATGGCAAACTGCTTCCTGATGCAGTTCCTGGGTCAGGGAGGGAAAAGGAAATGAGAAGTGGCCTGAACCCCTCACTGGGACCAGCACATTCAGGACCCTCCTGCATGCGCCAGCCCCCATCCCTTTCCTTCCCGGACACACACACATCTCGACCCAAGCCTTGCTTCACACTCTGCCCCTGACCCTTGACAAAACCCACAGTCTTCCAGGACTAACTGCTGCTCCTACCTCTGCTGTCAGCAGGCCTGAAATCCTCTTACAAGAGAGTCAGCTCCTGAGGCACACAGCCAAGTCAAGTGATCACTACAACAGTTAATCCTTAGGTTGTTTGCTGTCTCCATAAGCCATTTCTGGTTTCACATAGGGAAAGCCAGAATAAGGTACCATAGGGAGCAGGCTGGGTCACATGTCAGGCCCTAACCGTCTGGGGGGCTAGAGGGACTCAGATCCTCAGAGAAAGGACAAGGTGGAATTGTGTAAGGAAGTCAGAATGAACACAGGGAAATATTGTGGTGGGTCAAGGCCTTAACGATGCTCAACGTGCTGCACCATCTCCCTCCCAGTTTGGGTCCAGACTCCAGGCTTCCCTTCAACCCTTCAGTCAACCAGCTGCTATAGACTCCATTTCTACTGCAGAAATGTCCCTGCCTGCCATCCCTCAGTCTCCTCACCCAGGCTTCTCTGTCTCCTGCCTCCCCTCCCTCTCCTGAAGCCCTGCCCAGCTCTGACTCTCCCAGGCCCTCCATCACAACTAGGTCATGTCCACATGCCTCAGCTGGCATCAAAGTCCTCTCTGGCTTGTTCCCTCACTCACCTGTCACCTGTCCAGCTCCACCCCCCAGCTCAGCTCCTGCTGATGTGATTCCTGAGAATACCTTCCTTCCACCTGCCACATGCTCAAGCCTAAGGGCAATGACACCCTCCCCCTCTCTGTTGCCTGTACATCATACCTTGACTCTGAAGTCACTATAGTTATTTTTTTACTAAAGGACATGTTACATGTACAGGACAATGTGAGGTACATGGAACTTCCTATAGTGTATTCAATTAGTAAATGAGTGAGTGGAAGAATGAATGAATACTGTCTCTTCTGAGTGGTGGCATTTATCTCTTCACTGTGATCTCTTGGATGCAAGATCAATATCTTTCCTCTGCATTACCAACTCCTAATAGAGGATTTGACACACAGAGACAGGCTTGATAAGTAGTCTTAGAATTGAATGATGTTTATTGCACTGAAAACAAAATCCTGAACGGAATAAAATATGAGTAACCATTAGGTCTGAGCTAGGAATAGAGCTGTCTAGCCCTCTCCTGTCTCTTCTGGCAGCCACGTGTCTTCTGCCGATGTCTAGGAGGAGGAATTTAATCCCAGGGTGAAATCAAATCCTAGGCCAGCATCTGCAAGAATAATTGGCTTAAAGCCCATTCTTGAAAGTGGATTCACTATTTGAAGAATTGATAGAGTTATGCATTCCAAAAAAAACTTGTTTCTAGTAACTCTTGGGGAATTTCCTGAAGTTACTATTTAGAGGACAATTTCAGCAGCACTGGAGGATTTCACAGCAGCCACTCTGGAGAACAGTCATCCAGCTCCACAGCAACTTCAAGTCTGCTTTATGTTTTATACCCCAGGAAACTTTCAAATACCATGTGTCATGTATAAAACAGTGGCTTTTCTCTCAAAAACAGTTTAATGTCCTCATTTGCATATATTTGCCCACTGGTGCAATTGGATTCTAAGTATGATATTAAGGTGTGTACAAGGGTGCCTGAGTGGCCCGGTCAGTTGTGTGTCCAACTTTGGCTCAGGTAATGATCTTGTGGCTTGTGGATTTGAGCCCCGCGTTGGCTCTGTGCTGACAGCTCAGAGCCTGGAGCCTGTTTCAGATTCTGTGTCTCCCTCTCTCCCTCTCCTGCTTGTGCTCTATCTCTCTCTCTCAAAATAAATAAACATTAAAAAAAATTTTTTTTAAGTGTGTGGAGCCCAGATCATGTGTACTGATTTGACACCTGGGAAAACTGTCAAGTGTATGTGAACATTACCATTACAAATATTTTGGATAGATGCAAACATAATGGCAACACAGATTAGTGGAATACTTCATGAACCCCTTAAGAGGCTACAGTAACTATTTCTGTATATGACTTAACTATTTGAGACATAAAAGGCAGCTGAGAATGGAAACAATGCAAAGTGATGCAGTGCGGGGACAGAATGGCGAGTTGAGTAGAAAAGACTGGCTTGAAAATGTGTACAAAAGAAATCTATCAGATTCCATCCAGACTCAAAAATTGACAACACTTGAAATTAACATGTGAGAAAATCGATTGTGCAAAGTCATACTCATACACTGAATCAAACGCTAGAATGCATTGAGCTTTGGAACAGCCACCAACACTGAAGTGTGGCTGGAGATTGGGGAAGAGCAATGGGTCTAAGTCTCTCTGTCGTGCTGTGCTTACCAACTTTCTCTTGTACGTAGAGACACACACCTCTTTCCCAGCACACAGACATGCAAGAGCATATCTGTAGACACCCATGTAAACATAAGAGGTCACAAACATTGGATATGTTCCAGGTAAACAGTCCCCCACTCCCATCCTGGTACACGTAACTCACCTTACTCCTCCTGAGAAGGGCAAGAAAGCATGACTGTGTCAAACAGAACCCAGTGCAAACTGTGAAGGGTCAAACACCTGCAGAGGGAGCACAAGGTTCAGGACAGGTGTGGTCAAGCCCCTCCTTCCTCCAGCCAACCACCAGACAGAACACCCAGAGGTGGGACAGGAGAATGGGTTTGTCTGGAGAGATCATCCCATCCCCTCCTTCCCAGACCATCACACCTTTGGGTTTGGCCACACCTCTAGGTTGTGGAAAGAAAGAGAGAAAGACAGGAAAGATAGAAAGACAGAAAGACAGGAAGGAAGGAAGGAAGGAAGGAAAGAAGGAAGGAAGGAAGATGTAATGCCTCACAACTATTGAAGCATCTAAGTATCTATATTTGGCCTTATTATGCTTGCTTGTGGGCTAGGAAGATGGTTGCTGGAGGGTATTAAAGGCTGAGCCACCAGTCTCTTATGGAATTTCACAGTCCCCAAGGAATGTACCCAAGAAGGAAGAGGCACACCAGCAGATGTGGGTTAGCTCTCACCTAATTGCCCCAGGATCACCTTCATGTAGTCTGGGTCATAGACTGCAAGGGTAACTTGGCTTCCCCATAGCCAGCAAGGACTGGCACACAGGTTCTCTGCCATTTTCTGAAGATTTTGTAGTTCCTGGACCTTTTGGAACAGGGATAGACAAATCAATAAAACCTTCCTCTTTAGGTTCACTGCTTGGAATGGTGGTAGAGAGTAGAATGGCCACAGGGCAATAGTTCTAGATATCATCAGTGATTAGGAGTTTCAAACTGTTTCTGATGTGCCAGACTCTGATCCAGATTCCAGATTCAGTGAACTTATGTTCTAGTGTGGGAGTGGAGGTGGGGAAGACAATCGGGCTTAGAATCTGAAGTATTCTTCAATTAGTTAAGGGGCCTGCTCTGTGCTCCCAGGTCATGGACATCATTGGGTTGCCATTCTCCTTAGATTCAGTGTAGGGACTGCCCAGTGGGAGCTCTTCCCACAAAGCTATGTTACTTTGTCCTCCAGGATCCCCTCATACCTGCGCAGCAGGGGCTCTGTGTCCTGTTTCTTCCTAGAGACATGCCTCCTTTTTGATCACATGCTCTCCTCCTCTAGGAGACCCCAAGGAACCAAATGGTGCCATGCCTGGCTATTCCCCTCTCTGGGCCATTCTGAGGGCCACTGGTCTGTCAGCTGCCTGGATAAGTACTAAGGAGCTGCCATCTGTCCCTGAGCAGGTCTGGCCAGGGCCAGGTGAGACTCTCGTAGAGGAGATGGTACCCATGGTGGCAGTGGCAGGTACCCTGTCATGAGCACCCAGCATCCACTGGCCTTCAGGATGTGGCCACTCAGTGCAGGCCATGCTCTACTAAAACTGTGACCACCAAAAAATGTCCCCCAAGGGAGGCACAAGGACAGAAGGTGGACAGAAACTAAAGGGGCAGCACAGACAATGGTCAGGTGTTGTGGGCTCTGCTGGCTAGCAGTCAGCCTGAGACAGGTGGGAGGCCCTGGGGAAATAATGAGCCGTTGGGTCATGTATTTCCCACAGTGAAGTTCCCCTTTCATGGTTCCTTGTGGATTTCACCCCTAGGTAGTGCAGCAAGTTGGCTTACCCACAACATGCATGTCCTTCATAGTTATTAACATTATTTTCAATTTTTATCAATTAGAGTATAATTGTCTCCTTGCTCTGTGCCAGGCAACATTCAGAGATTAGAAGAACTAACATGAGACTGTAATCATCATCATTATCCCCACTTTACAGATGAAGAGAGGCATAGAGCAGGTATTTGAAATATGTGGCAAAGATAGGATAGAATCAGCCATGTTGGGTGTAGAGATTAGGTAAAAGTATTATCTTTAATAAAAAATTTTTTGAAGATAGGAGTTAAGATTGTGGAGAAGTAGGGGGACACTAGGCTTTTCTTATCCCTCAAACATAGCTGTATTGGGGTCAGATCACTTACAATACCCAGGAAATTAATCTGTAGAGTGGCAGAAGGATCTCCACACTTGGAGGGAAACAGTTTGGCAGGTGCATGGATGTGAGTTGGGAGAGAGAAAAATAGCCATGCTACAGAGGGGGAGGGAACCCCTTCCATAGAGAGACAAAAGGGAAAGAAAGAGAGAGGGGTTGCAATAACGTGGCATCAAATTAGCACAAGAGGAAAACATCTCTGGAGTGAGAAGTACTGAGTCTAGGTTATTATTTTTTTTGATGTTTTGTTTTGTTTTTGCAACTCAAACTCTCATGATTTGGAAGTGCATGACTTTCTCTGCAAGTGCTCCTGGGAAGGAGGGAGCTGGCCTGGAGTGCATAGCATGGTGTAGTCATCTCCAGGGTGCACTGGGAGAGAATAAACCTCTTCTTGGAATACTTTGGGAAGAGGGCTTATTGCCTCCCCAAGAACAAAAGACCTGGTAGCTTCCAGCCAAAGGTCTTTCATCAGCAGGGTGGAGAGGCTCTACTCTGGAGGAGGGGAGTGGATCTGCACCACGATAGCTCCTTTAAGACTTGGGTGTTTGAATCCCAGCCCTTGTTCCAAGAAGATGCAGGAGAGCAGAACAAACTGACTTTCTTCACTATTCTATGAGGGCTACTTGAACAGCAGGGGTTGAGATCTCTGCCCTATTTTTTCTCTAATAGCCCATCTCTCAGCACCTTCCATTCTTCCTTTCTATCAGCACCGTCTCCCTTCAGAACAAGCACCAAGTTCCCCATTGTCACTCTACTTTATTCTTTCTCTCCTCACCTCCCTTCCCACCTCTTACCTTAAGTTTATTCTCTTAGTAGACAAGCCCATTGACCTGGGATGCCTCCATTCCTTTGTTATTCTCTTGCTTTCTAGATCGTACATCTACATCTTATATTCCTCATCCTGCTCTTTCGTAAAAGCTCCCAGTATGTTTCCCTAGTTCAAGTCAATTAAATAACTATTTTTTGAGAGAGAGAGAGCAAGAGCAGTGCACACAAGCGGGGAAGGGGCAGAAGGAGAGGGAGAGAGAGAATCCCATGCAGGGTCCGCATTGTCAGTGCAGAGCCTGAGGGCTCAAACTCAGGAACAGTGAGATCATGACCTGAGTTGAAATCAAGAGTCAGACATTTAACTGACTGAGCCACCCAGGTGCCCCAGGAGAGAGACAATATTAAGCAGGCTTCACACCCAGCACAGAGCCAGAGGCGGGGCTTGATCTCATAACCATGAGTCAAGAGTCAGAGACTTAACTGACTGAGCCACCCAGGCGCCCCTAAACAACTATTTCTAAAGCAACTGCTATGCACCCAGCCTGGCTGGGCTCAAGAAAATCCAAGATTAAAAAAAATAAATCCTTCATCACCATGGAGTTTCCAGACCTAATGAGGAAGATAAGTTGAACATAAAAAGAGATACATAATGAGGCTGCATAGGACTGCTGACTATGGAATGAGTCATAAATGAAAACATAAACAAATGAAGTATCAAATGAGAGGTATGAAAATGAGTACTTTAATTGTTCACAGGCTGGGTGGTTAGAGAAGCATTCATAGGGGAGGTAATTCTTGATGGTGGGCTCAAGAAGAACAGAAGACACTTGGGATGGGGCATGTTGGGGACAAGGGGGAAAGGTGATTCTTCTTGCTCTGTTTTTCTCAATGAAGAGAAACATAGGGATCATCCTATATGTCTTCCTTACTGCGTTCACATCCAGTCAGCTATCAACTCCATCAAAAACACTCTACAGGGCACAACACCTGAGTAGCTTTGCAGGGTAATCATCGAACTCTTGATTTTGGCTCAGGTCACGATCTTACAGTTCGTGAGTTCAAACCCCATGTGGGGCTCCCCACTGACAGTACAGAGCCTGCTTGGGATTCTCTCTTTCTCTCTCTGCCCTTCTCTGCATGCATACATGCACTCTCTCTTTCTTTCAAAAAAATAAAATTAAAAAAAAAACATTCTCCAATATTTCTCCCACTCATTCTGCCTCTCTGTCCCATGGCACTCCCCCTTGCCAGGCCACCATCACATCTTATCTGAATATTGCAACGGCAAGAGAAATGGTCTTCTAGAGCCAGTCTTTCAACCACCCCCACCCATACACACACATATACATCATCTGAGAATCTAAGACCTGGATTCTTGAGGCAGACTGGATTCAAATCCCGATCCCCCTTCTCACCCTTTGATGTCCTGGGAAACCTGCATTAGTTCATCTATATATACCATGGGGAAAATGGTAATGTCTACCTCAAATTTTTATTATGAAGATTAAAGGAGTTACTATATGTAAATCACTTTAATATAGTACTTGACACTTAGTAAGCACACAACAAACATTTACCTATTATTATCTCCCAAATAGCTGTCAGAGTAATCTACTCTCTAACCAGGTCACTTTCCATTTTAAATCCCTTGGGTGGGGGAGGAGCCAAGATGGCAGAACAGCATGGAAGTTTTTTGTGTGTTTTGCATCCATGAAATACAGCCAGACCAACACTAAACCATCCTGCACACTTAGAAAACTGATTGGAGGATTAACACAACAATCTGCACAACCTGAACCATAGAATTCAGCAGGTATACAGCACGGAGAGGTGAACTTGGGGAGCGAGAAGCCATGGGAAGGGAGGTGCTTTCGTGTGCAGAGAGAGAACAGAGATGGGGGGGGGAGAATATGGGAAAAGCACCCCTCCCCAAAAGTAGCTGGAGAGAAAGTGGAAAATTTGGAAACAGCCACAGGGACTAAACTAAAAAGGGAGAAAGGAGAAAGGAGAGGGTTTAAATTCCATTAAGACTGTAAACAAGGGGAGCACAAAGTCTGCAACTCTGCACCTCAATACCTGGCGGTGCTCTGGTGGGAAGGGCAAATCCCCAGGAACAGAATGGGATCCGAGAGGTTCTTGGGCCACACGGGGAAAAGCAGTTCCACTGCTGGAAGGACATTTGGTGAGATTGTTGAGGCCACCTGGTCCCAGCAGACCCCAGAAAATGGCCACATTCGCTGGTGCTGGAACAAGGTCATTAAGGGTGAAGCCTGGTGCCAGATGTGTGTTGTGATTTCCCATAATCCCTGAAAAGCTGCTGCTACACTATCTCATGAACTTTTTCTGGGGCGGGCTGGCGCCTGGCCGCAGTCTCAGGGCACCAGCAGCAGCAGGGTCTCATGAACGTTCCTGGGTGCGGCCAGCACCTGGCCATTGCTCAGTGAGACCCTCCGCAGGGGCAAAATGGGTCAAAGCCGCAGTCCTTCAGAAGTAAGGGGTCAGGGAAAACAGCCACATCTAAGATGAAA